TTTTTTTTTTTTTTTTTTTTTTAAATTTAGAAATTCTTTCCTACAGGTTTGATTATCCAGCATTAATATTCAGGTTACTCAGGATTAAGAGCAATGAAAAATGCTCTTAAAATTCTGAGATGGCAAATAATCTACATAATGATGTGTCTCACACATCTTTGTCAACTGGGTATAAGGCACCAGGATGAAAACCTTCTTAAAATATGAATATAGAGCAAAAGTCTTTAYCTGTTGAAGAGGTTTGTTAGACCCTGAGGGTAAGAACAGAAACACTTGAATTAKTTTTAAACTGTCCTGATGCCACTGACTTATGCTGCCCCTATTTATTTCACGCCCATTCCAGCTGCAGGTAAACACATCCAGACCAAAAAGTCTACTAAAAAAAGATGAAACCAGGACTTGAAAGGGAAGGAGGTTGGCTATCAAACGTGCTTATCAATAGCTAGTGGAAAACAAGCCAAAAGGAGCWCTTTTTCAAAGAGGTGCTTTGTTACTCTGGCTCCAGGAAAAGGAAAGTGAAAACAAGGAGCTCAAGAGGAGCAAAGCCAAGAGCTGCCAGCTCAGAGTGCCAATCCAAACAAAGTGCTGGGAGAGATTTATCAGCAAAACCTCTCTTGGAGGGAAGTGATGAGGTATGCACWGAAGTGGAGATGGAAAGGAGAGGTGGATGGGTGTATAATCAGCACAGAGTGTTTCTAAATCCGTTTAATACGCTGAGATGTTTTAAATTACCTGTGTGRAGCAGGCATCTATCTTTATCTCAGTAAAAGTTCTCACACGCAAAAAATGGAAATCCCTCTGGCTAAGGGGTGATTTCACCCTGCTACTGCACAAAACCACAGAGCCACTCACCAAGGTGCCATTAATTTTCTTTACAGCCCTTCCAACCCTTCACCACTGGTTCCAAACCCACGTCAGTTTTTTCAGTGGGTCCAACAGAAAAGTTGCCTCCCTGTTACTGGTGCACAAGATAATGTCTGCACACATCCAAAAATGTGTAACATGCAGTAATATTTCTTTTCTTGAGAAGAGTTTAAATATTCTACAAAGGGCTTTTCCAAGACCATCTTTGAGGGAGTAGGCAGTAAAAAGCATTTTTCCTCTCAGAAAACATCAGATAAGCGTCTGAAGGAGAATTAATAGGGAATTAAATAGGAAACACGTTATGATGCTTTCCAAACTTTTGAAACAGAAAATATTTCATTCAGAAGACATATGGTTTTGTAAAGTCTTTTTTAAACTGGAGCTCTTAACATCTAATCTGAAGATAGCAGAATTTCACATGCCTGCAATTTGTCCACTTATTTCTTCAGAGCCGCATGTTGAGTTATTTTTGAGCAGTAGTAAGTTCAGTCTTTTGCAGAAGGACTGGAGGTCTGATAAAGCCATGAAATTCACATAAAATATTCKACTGACTTTAAATTAGTCCCTAGTTTTTTGTCAAGAGTAGAGCTAAACAGGAAACTGAAAAAGAGATTTTTAAATAGAAGACTAAAACCATTTTGGACTGTTTCCTTCAAAACTACTTAATTGTATTACATGATGCTATCACAAAATCCATGATGTTCACCACCAAGCACCCATAACGATGAGATAGGTTTGCATGAAAAATCAAGAGTTTGAATTAGTCCAATTATTTCCTGCACTTGATAACCAGAATTTTTTGGGGTTGGCTTCAAGAGAG